TTCGGGGTTTGGAACGAAAAGGACGCAGACAGTATTACCGTTCCCAGGCGCGTTCTGAGTTAAACCAATGTCAACGGCACACATAAAAATATAGGGTTGAATCAAGTAATTTACCCCCACAAACGCGCTGCGACTCCCCCACCCCATCCGACCACTAGTGTGCGTGTATGTCCAGTCCCTGGGCGAGGAGCGGCTCTGCGGGGTGTGCGTGTGGCGGCGGGTGGAGCAGCATGGCCGGGTGGGGGTGGGGGCCCGGGTACGGGTGGAGGGAGGGACCCGGGTGGTGGGGGTAGCCCGGCTGGGGGAGCAGAGCGCCGGGGTAGTCGCCCTGCAGGGAGGACATCCCCTGGAGGCCTGGGTGGAGGAGGTGGAGGACGTGGAGGAGATATATCTTTAAAGGTTTGTGCTCCATTAAAGTGAATACAGCACAGAATTATAAATACTAAAGGCAACTACAAATAGTCTTATTCCACTCTGACGTACTGAACGCCGTAATCATGTTAATAAGCATTTAAAATGTGCACAAATGTTTTCAGTACAGGTGCAAAAAGTTAAATACTGGTGAGTCTAATGACGTGACGGACTACCGTACCTGCTCGGAGCCCCAGGTGAGCCTGTCCGTCGAGGCCGTAGCCCCCGAGAGCCGCCCCCTCCGGGCTGTAAGGACCACCCTGACCTGTGGGACGACGCACACCACGTCAGACGCAAACATGCAACACACACACACACACACACACACACACGTATACACAGAGCTGTTTGCTGCTGACTGATTTATAAACACCGACCTGAGCGATTCGACTGGTCAATCATCGGCTGAACTATTCTCCTCCTGGCGTTGATGAACCTGCACGAGGGAGAGAGACATAAAGAGAGAGACATAAAGAGAGAGAGAGAGAGAGAGACATAAAGAGAGAGACATAAAGAGAGAGAGAGAGAGACGAGGACCCCATTAATGAAGAAAAAGGCTGAGCGGGGCCTGTTAACCTTTTCCATTTTACAACCACTTAACCCTTTCAGGGGGCAGAGTAAATCAACGTTAGGGCAGAGCAGGTATTGATTGCCTTGTGATAATTGATTGATCAGCAGTGAACGTGTGTGTGTGTGTGTGTGTGTGTGTGTGTGTGTTTGTGTGCTGCAGAAGGGGTGCAAATAAAAACAAGCCCGTTATCAAATATCTATTATCAAACCTGCAACGCAGGCTTCACGATTCGGTTTCGTTACGTGTTTTTGAGTTGGACATTACGAAAGCAGACAAATTGATCAGCTACATGGAACTGTGCCGTGTGCATGCGTGTGTTTCACACGTGTGCCTGGGGAGGGAATGGGGGCAGTAGACCATCTGACTATTGGATATTGACTGTTCCGTTTCATGGACATGGAGCGAGTGGATTTCACTGCGCTGCAGCTACAGGAGACACAAAATGCTGAGCGGGATGGGTTTTTTTTCCCACCTCGACACGATAAAACAGATCCTGGACCCTGAAAAGTCCCGTAAAAACGTCCATCTAACCGACATTTATTCACACACAGACACTTGTGATACCGACGTGGAAAGTTGACGCTGTACATTCAAACATGACAGCTTAACCGATTATTGACAATCCCCCCCGGGGGGGCGGCGGGTATTGGTGTATTGATCGCGGGTTGCACTGACCAGTTGTTGACCTGTAGGATGGTCAGCCCCGTGTCCAGGGACAGCTGCTTCTTCTGCTCCTCGGACGGGTACGGGTGCTGGAGGGGGGGGAGGGGGTGGGGGGGTAGGGGGGACACGGTCAGGAGGAGTCACAGCGCCGAGCTTTTTTCCTCATTAAAGAACGAATTCGGAGGGAAATCGGAGACGACCTTCCGGCCGCTGGCGCGGTTTGAACCTCAGTAAGCCCTCAATCTCGCTCTGTATTTATCTCTCGCTCACACACACACACACACACAGCGTAATAATTGGCGTGGAGCAACATTTGACCCGCCTCATTTAGCGGCTAATTACCTCGCCAACATTTACGCACTCCATTTCCACACGCTTCTGCAGCTATTCAATGGCGAGCATAGTCGCATAATCACTTAATCCCTTGATTTTTCACCTCATTTAATTGACCTCCATTATGCACTCGGCCCGGCTCTCTGTCTGTTCTTCTGTCGGCGACGTTTGGCTTCACGCTACATCTCCTCCTTCAGTAATTAGCCTCTCGCGCAGCGCAGCGCGCCTTCTTGTTATTAGGATAATCATTGTGCGAATTCAATATGTGCGCGTGTGACGATTTGACTTCTGCCGTCCGTCTCTCTCACCGACAGGTGCTGGAAGAGCCACGCTCGCATGATGTTGGTGGCCACTTTGGGGAAGATGCCCCTCTTCTTGTTGTTCCTCCGGTCCCTGTCGGAGTCGTCGTCGTCCCCCGTGCTGGGGGAGGCCCCTCCCCCGTCCAGCCCGTCGCCTGCAGGGACGCACGCACGCAGCGGATGTCAGGGTGAATGATACAAGGTCATACTCATAAGCGGATCTATTCGTGTTTTTTTGCAACAAAAAGGTACACGTTTTTGTCTTATTAAATTATTTATATAATAATTTAAAATTCAGTAATAATAGTAAAGTAGTAGTAGTACGTTTTGTATGTGTAAACTCAACAAAAATCAACATTAAAATTAATTCTACTTCAATAAACGGCAATAGTGATACATGATTAGCTAGTGAGATGCATTTAAATGTTCCTAATATTTAATACAGTGCAGTGTTTTCTCACAGTGTGTGTGTGTGTGTGTGTGTGTGTGTGTGTGTGCGTACCTGTGTCGCTACCGTTGTCTAATGTGCTGTGTGACGGCAGGCCGCAGGTACCCGGCGTTCCCAGTGGAGTAGTGGCACATTCATCCGGCTCCCGTAACCATGACGCGTTCTGCAGGAGGAGGATAGGTGGAGAGGAGATCTGTTGGCGGAGTAACGGCGGGGGGGCGGAGAATGCAACACCATCACGCTACACTAGGAGGAGGAAGGGGGGGGGGTGAGTGGGGGGGGCTTAATGATGGATGTCCCACCTGCTCCGACAGACTGGTGCAGGATCCGGCGAAGTCCTCCATGTCGGACTTGGAGCCGCCCTCCCGGTCATCCAGGATGAGGTCCGTGGGCATCTTGCCCTTCAGACAGGTGATGTAGCGATGGCAGAAGTTATCACAGAGGTCGTGCACCTTCGGGAAAACACATTTCATAGGTTCAGATTCTCTTGGTGGTCATCATCAAAAAATAAATACGAACGTGCTTTCCTCCCACCAACCTTCTCCAGCTCCAGCAAGTGAAAGCGAAGAACCTGAATGGCCTGGATCATCTGTGGGGAGGAGAATGCGGGTCACTAAACGCATATCCCACAATGCACGCCTGGAAAAAAGCGTCTTCATGTATTCTCATATCATACCAAGTTGTCGAGCTCGGGATTGGAAGAAAATATCGGCTTCTCTGATCTGATCTGCGGCAGAGAATTAGCAAATGATCACAAATCAGAAGAGAAAAAAAAAAAAAAGCTTTTCCTCGGTCGTCCGCGCTGCGATTGGCTCGCGCTGCCGTCACTCACCTGCTTGGCAAACGCGGCGATGTCGTCGTTGAAGGATTCGGAGGAGCAGACGTCGCTGTGGTTGGTCATGCCGGGGAGGTGGGAGGTGGCTGAGAGGGGGGCGGGGTCTCGAGGGGAGCAGGTGGCGAGCTCGCACTTTTCAAACACTAAGGCCAGTAGTGGAAACAGAGGGTGACTGCACACACACACACACACACACACACACACACAGTTAACATACTGAACATAAACACAGTAGCAGTTGACACAGTGTGCACACGATACAATAACAGAAGGTGAAACTTTATAGCACAGCATTTATGAAGCACGCAGCTGCAAACACTTCACATGCAGTCGGATATTCGATACACAAATAAAGGCGGCCCGTTAATCTGCTTCTAAAAGTGCAAATACAAAACAACTACGTCACCAAGCAAACCGCCGTCTGCACACGCGTGCACGTACCCGTAGATCTGGTCTTTGTGGTGTTTGAGCGAGTCGGGGATGGTGGGTCCGTAGTGTGGGGGAGGAAGGGGCCTGACGTCGTCCCCGTACCCCCCCAACGACATGCCCTCCGACCCCGAGTAGTGCACCAGCTCTTCATACTGAAACACAATTAGACGGAAAACATGAGACGCGTTGGACATCTGTCCCTGTCCCACATCAAATCTGCTTGTGATTTTATTAAGTCTGTCAGGGCGCTTCGGTGTTTTGTGTCCCAACTGCAGACTGACATTTAATGTCAGAACTGGAAAGTGTTGCATGTGTGTGTGTGTGTGTGTGTGTGTGCAGATTAGGGCTGCAAGAAACATTTATCTTCATCACTGATTAATCTGACAATTATTTTCCTGATTAGTCGTTCTGTCTGTAGCTCTAAAAGCCACGTTGACATATTTCATTTGCTTGCTTTGTGTGACCAACCTTCCCGAACCCCAAAGAAGACGAGGAAAATAAGAACATATTTACATTCAATTCATTTCAGCCTTTTCCGCCGGTCTGTAATTGTTTCATCTCGTATACACAACATGTGCACACGTGTCAGTCGGAATGTGCAAAAAAAACACCTAAATCAAAAAGTTAACAAGTAAATGTTTCTAATGTTTATGGCTGTGTAGCTAAATTCTCCCCCCCGACTGTGTGTGTGTGTGTGCATTGATAGAAGTCAGGTTTAGTGCAGTGCTCAAGCTCCTTGTCGGTGCTTGAACGTCCCGTTTCCCTCACGAAGGAGAGCGCTCTTTGTTCTGACGTCTGGTGTTTGAGGTTTGAGATCCACGGAGGGAGACGGCCGGCCTGTAGCTGCCGAGGTCGTCTCCTCTCTCCTCAACTCTTGACTAGACGGGAGCCGCGCTGAGACGTCCCTCACACACACTCTGACACACGCAGAGATACGGCTTCCCGTACACTCATGGCTCACTCCTTGGTTCACGTCTCCGAGGCAACGCCGCTCAGGTCAGCCGATCTGCTTCTGTGCTCTTTCTGGGGGATTAAAGGGCCACCGGGATCACACAAGCGGGCGCCACCTGCTAGGTGACCTGGACACGTCTCACTTGTTATTTTAGCCAAGCTATAAAAATGTTGTTATCTGCTTGGTTTTCCTCGTGGACACGAGTCCCCAAACAGGCTACGACAAGAAGCCGTGAGAGACAGCAGAGGTGCTGCAGAGACAGGGACTCTTTTCTTTTGGTTCTGTATGATTTGCAGAAATTTAAAACGACACTTGTATTTTGTTATTAGCATTATTATTATTATTCACACTTTAATAAATGTCTCATGGACACCAATAGAGAGAACAGCTTTGTTCATTTACAATGTAGTGGTGAGCCAGTACATAAGAGCGTTTATACACTCTCCATGTTGACCTCTGTGAATCTAATAAAACATAAATTAAATCAATCCTCGTGCACTGTCCTCCTGCCAAACCCTCTGCGGGACCCACGCCGGCCTCCGGACCCCACTTTGGGAACCACTGTCCTAAATGGCTTATCAAATTGTAGTATTCCCGAGTACCACATGGCCACCGGGATCACAGAAAGCACCTGCTCTGAGGCCCCGTCCCGGGACACCTTGTAGTTTTTATGGAGGCTGGCTATTAACACAATCACCGCTATCGGATTGCGCGTCTCCCTTTACGCACGGCGCCTATCGGGTTTCTGTGCGTCAAGCGGATCAAAGTGCACAAGCCGAGATGACAAATTCCGCGAATTTTCTGTGTAAAAAAAAAAGGAAAAGGAAAAGTCAGGGAACTGGTAAACAGGCATCAGATGGCAGGACGACGAGTTTTAATGGTTTATTTAAAATGACGCCGAATCCTTGTTGGAGACTTAACAGCGCGTCTTTGGGCTCCTCGGCACAAACAAGAAGAAACATTTAGCGTTGTCGCATTATGTTTATATTGGACCGAAACATTAGGGTCGATTCCGTAAGATGAGGAGGAAAAAATGAGGACGGAGTTCGTGTTTCAGACCCTCTTAAAAGTCCGATTTGAAAAAAACTTGGATGAGTTCATTTAACTGTGTTTGAAAGCGACGTTATATTTTGAAATAATGGCAATTATGAAACCAAAGCCTCTGTTTAACAATCAAGCCACAGTCTAAAGCGTCGTATTGTTCTCCTTCCGGAGCTTAATAAACAAACCTGAAACAACAACGTTGGAACAAACAAACCGAACTGCGCGTAACCGGATATGAACAACTTTTAAACGCAGCGTTTATACAGCAAAAGACAGAACAGTGCAATTTAAAGTTCATCCGCTTCTTCTATTTTTACATCCCAGAGGCTGCACAACGGATCCACTATGGACACGTACGTCAGTAATACAAGCAGAAAACGACTTGATTATTTATTTCACTTTAATTGGAAAAACGCTGCCGGTCAGTTACCTCTCTGGTTCCCCTCCGCTGCTGCTCTGTTTTCACACAGCGGTGATGTTCCATCTCTAACTGCGCTCCTGCACTCACCGCCCGTCTGTTCTGTTCCTCCAACACCACCGTGAATCGGAATCACGTGGAAGCCGCGCTCGCCTACTTACCGAGCTGCAGAGCCGCATGTCCTCCCCTCTGCATGACCTACACCACTCTAACCCGTAATGTGCCATTATAACGCCTGACTGACATTGCACAATACAATTCTTTTAGGGGAGGATGACATATAGATACAAACAACGGACCCCGGTGAAGCGTTTTAAGGGCTTTGCCGATGCACGTTACAAAAATCACAAAAAGCACCTCCGCTGACGTGCACGCGCCCTCGTGGATTAGGGCGCATGCACGGAAAGTTATTTCTTTGCAGCGCGATTTAAAAAAAATAAATAAATAAAAAAAAGCTCTTGCAAATAAACGTTTGACAAACATTTGAGAATAGTTTCTGCTTTATAAAAGAAGGGACCCTTTGCTGTTGTTTTCCCTGCTAGCAGCCGACAGACCACTAGTCTGTTTCAGTGGGCCTTGTGTTTTGGCTGCAGCACCCAACCAGCAGAGCAAAGATATGCTCACATTAACGTGCCTTTTCTAATGACCTCTTCTCTGTGGCAAATACACAACACGGTGTCCAAACCATTGTCACACGCACGGTGCATATATCGTTATATGTGGAGAAGCAGACCTACCCTCTTCTCCATGCGACTCGACAGCCAGTCCAACGCCGGAGACGATGACGTGCTGCTCGGCTAGTCCAGCGAGCTTTGCTCCCTTCTTCTGTTTCCTGCAGATAAAAGTACAAATGTTTTTTTTTTTGTTATTGTTTTTTTGTTTGTTGTCATTTTGATTAATAACACAAATATTGTAAACGCGAATAAAAATATGCAAAACATTATATGGAATGAACAAAAACACGAGGCTGAAAACAGTCCAGACCTGCTTCGTTTATGTTTGTGTGTGTGTGTGTGTGTGTGTGTGTGTGTGTGTGTGTGTGTGTGTGTGTGTGTGTGTGTGTGTGTGTGAGTGTTTACTCCGAGCCCTTTGCGTTTTAAATTACAACATTATGATGTGACGGGAGACATTTTATGGACGTTAATATCCATGTCGGCGCTCTTTGTCGATGTGAGCTTAATGCTTTGAAATGCACTCAGCGCCAATAAAACGCTTTAATAAAGCGCGCAGCCTTTAAATGCTGGATG